ACACAGGGCCCCTAGAAACCAGTACGAAAACTCCTGGATTTCCCCCAGTGGGCCCCTTTTTCCCTTTGTGTGGTTCCCTAAACCCTAAACCCTAAACCCTAAACCCTAAACCCTAAACCCGGTTCCTAGGTTCCTGATAAGCCTGCCCAAAAGATTCTAGGTCTACCATTCAAAAGGCTACGGGTTTAGGGTTTAGGGTTTAGGGTTTAGGGTTCAGGGTTTAGAGTTTAGGGTTTAGGGTTTAGGGTTTAGGGTTTAGGGTTTAGGCTACGGGGGCATCCCAGAAGCCGATCCTGAACCCCACACAGCATACTTTGATTTGTGCTTCATGTATAAGGGTTTAGGGTTTAGGGTTTAGGGTTTAGGGTTTAGGGTTTAGGGACCATTTGCAAAGTATTGTGTCTGAGGTTCTAAGAACAGCTGCGCAATCCTCATGTGCAGACACGAAAAACAGATTCATCTATCGCGCGGTGCCCCACCCAAACCCCAAATGCTAGTTACTCCCTAAAGCCGACCATGCCCAGGCCCACACCATCGCCAAAGTTCTTGCGAGGCATTTCCGCCCTTGGTTCGAGCTGTAGCAGTTTCGGTCTAGGGTTTTTGGTTTTTAAGCCTAACACTTTTAGGTTTTCCGGCCCCCTAAACCCCTAACCGCTAAATCCTAAGCCCTGGGTCCTAAACCCTAAACTACTATACACCCCTGAGCGCTGCCATAAGGTTTTTTCGGGCCACTTCAGGTTCAGGGTGAAGCCTCCGCGCTTGTCGCTGCGGGTTTAGGTAGGCTTTAGGTAGGGTTCAGGGCTGATTGAGGGTTTTGGGTTTAGGGTTTAGGGCTAGGGTTTAGGGTTTAGGGTCTCGGGTTCAGCGTTTTGGGTTCAGGGTTTAGAGTTTAGGGCCTCTGCGGCTTGGTGTTTCTAGAGATTTGCTTCGATTCCCTAAGCCCTAAACCCTAAACCTATTACCCAGTAATCCTAGGCCTCAATGCCTATAAACCTCAAGAAGCGAGGCCTGCAGGTTTCAAGGTCGGAGTGGGTTTCTGTGCTCCAGGGGTGGGTTGTGTGCTTTTGTGCGCAAATCGCTTCAGGGGTTTAGGGTTTAGGGTTTAGGGTTTAGGGTTTAGGTTTAGGGTTGAGGGTCCAGGGCTTAAGGCTTAGGATTTAGGGTTTAGGGTTAGTTGAAGCCTCGCCCCTAAACCCGAAACCCTAGAGGCCTCAACGGCCCTAAACCTGGATTCTGGAACTTTGGTTTGGTGTCTCGGGTGGTCCTCCCTGAACCCTGGACCTGAGCCCTAAACCCCAAACCCTAAACCCCAAACCCCAACCCCAAATCTCAAACCCCAAACCCTAAACCCCAAACCCCAACCCCAAATCTCAAACCCCAAACCCTAAACCCTAAACCCCAAACCCCAACCCCAAATCTCAAACCCCAAACCCTAAACCCTAAACCCTAAACCCCAACCCCAAATCTCAAACCCCAAACCCTAAACCCTAAACCCTAAACCCTAAACCCTAAACCCTAAACCCTAAACCCTAAACCCTAAACCCTGAACCCAGACTTGGTGGGCCGCACGTCCCCCTGCCACTGCGACGCCCGTGGATCGTCAGGCGCGGGGAAGCCGGAGAGTTGACCCTGTTAGGTAGGGGTTTAGGGTTTAGGGTTTAGGGTTTAGGGTTTAGGGTTTAGGGTTTAGGGTTTAGGGTTATGTTCGGGTTAAGGTTCCCTCATAAAGTAGCCAACCCAAAAAGGAGTGTGGGGTTTTAGGGTTTGGAGTTTAGGGATTCTGGTTTAGGGTTTAGGGTTTAGGGTAAGGGTAGTTTCATGGGCCCTTAGTATGATCCCTAACCTCTTTGAAAGGATTCTGATGTATGAGCCATTGGGTTTTGTATGGCGTAGATCAGGGGTACAGAAGGGGAAACCCTAAACCCTAAACCCTAAACCGTAAACCTTTTTTAAGTGCCCATACTCAGGGACCATGTAACTACCCTCAGGGATCAAGACTCGTACCCATAAGGTTGCACCCCGAAGAGGTTCCCCTTAATGTACTCCTAATCTGGCCCCTAGGTTTTTTCAGAAAAAGGGCACCCAAACCCGAGGGCACAACCTTAGTGTCCAAGCGGGAGTCCTATGACTCTATGCTCGGGTTCTATTGGGGTATGTATTGCGGTCAGGTTTGTATTCGGCTTTATACTAGGGTTATATTAGCTTAGTTGTATTGGCGCTATATCAAGGTTGCCTTGAGGTTGTATTAGGCTCATATTAGGGTGGGGTTGGGGTTATTTTAAGATTTCATTGAAGATATTAAGGCCAACCCTACCTGGATCAGTGCCAAAGTATAGCTTTAGGGTGTACGGTCTGGGGGACCGTGAGCCCGAAGACCTACCTGGACAGCCGACATATTCTACCTATGGCAACAAGATCTACCAAGAGTACGCGTGCGTGACATCCACAAAATTCCATCGCACGCGCGGCGTCACGCCAGAGGAAGCCGGGAAAGAACCATGGACGCCCACCGCCAAAGCCCCTGGCCTTGCAAGGACCAAGTTCTACCTCGTGAGCTTGCAAGGCGTAAGCTGGGAAGAATCTTTTCAGCTGCCGCAAGATTAAGATCTACACTCGCGAAGAGGCATCGCGGCACGAACTCTACTTGCGCCCCGAGGGCTGCTCGAGAATCACGGAAGCTTCATCCACAAGTTTGTCTTTGAGAAGAAGCAGCCAGAAGAGCGCCAGGCTGGCCTGGGGCCTGGGGAGTCATCCGTAAGGTCTATAAGGGCCAGAGTCTAAACTCTCTAGACTCTCGGCTCCGTTTAGGGTTTAGGGTTTAGGGTTTAGGGTTTAGGGTTTAGGGTTAGGGTTTAGGGTTTAGGGTTCAGCATCTCAAGTACCCTAAACCATAAATCCTAGAAACCCTCAAACCGTAGAGGGGCCACATTGGGAGTCTTTTCCACCCTAAGCCGCCTCAAACCAGGTGTTAAGTATGGGGGGGGAGCAGGTCCGCCAGCCTGGGTGTACATCTTCTGCTGCCGCCGCGCTGGGCACCAGATGACGGTGAAGGCTCAGTTGGCAGTTTCTAGGGGTTCGTTATTTCGGGAGCAGAGGGCCTTTGTAGGAGTATTTCTGAGAGGGTTTACAAGTCACTACTCCTCATTGATAATTCCTGTCACGTTTTCTCTAGGCTGATGCCCAAACCTCAAAACCCAAAGCCCTAAACCCTAAACCCTAAGCCCTAAACCCGAACCTGAACTTTGCGCCCTGAAACCATCCCAAACCCCGTTCAAGCCCTGACCTCTTCAAACCCGAAACTCCCTTTATATCCTGACACCTTAAACCCTATGACCCTAAAGCAAAATCCCTAAACCCTAAGACCATCAGCCCCAACTTCATAACCATGCAATGCAGTGGGCCAGCAAGATGATTCTGTTCATGCCCTAAACCCTAAACCCTAAACCCTGCTGTCTACCTCAAACCCTAAACCCTACACCCGAAGGCTTGAACCCAAAGCCAGAAACCCAAACCTCAGTCCTCTTAAATTCAGAGGGGGAAGTCTCGGAACTGAACGTTTCAGCACATCAAACCACAAATCCAGAAGGTTTAGGGTTTAGGGTTTATGGTTTAGGGTTTAGGGCTTAGGGCTTAGGGCTTAGGGTTTAGTAGGGTTTTGTAGGGTTTAGTAGGGTTTAGTAGGGTTTAGTAGGGTTTAGTAGGGTTTAGTAGGGTTTAGTAGGGTTTAGTAGGGTTTAGTAGGGTTTAGTAGGGTTTAGGGTTTAGGGGAACCCTGTGGCTAGGTGAACCCATGTCCGCCTTTGGTGCAACCCTCAAGACCCCCCCCCCCCCCCCCCCAAAGCCCTGAAACCCGAAACCCCCAGAGGCTTTGGGTAGGGTTCCAGGATGCCCCTAGCCTCTTCGGGGAGTTTCATGGCCCGTTAACATACCCCCGAATATACCCTCTACAACCCAAGGGGGCCTCTACTTCAGAACCCTAGAAGGGAGGTAAGGGACCATATTAAGGGCCCCTGTAACTACCCCTGCTCTCAGGCATGCCAACTGCCGATGATTCAGAGAGCTGAAAAAGTTTCGAATCACCCTGAACCCTAAACCCTAAACCCTAAACCCTAAACCACAAACTCAGGCTTTGGGGTGCTGGGTAGGGCTTTAGGGATGGCGTCCCTAAACCCTCAAAACCCTAAATGCTAAACCCTCTTGTTTGCAGAAGTGTCTGGGGTTCGGTTTTAGGGTTCAGGGTTCGGGGTTTACGGTTTTAGCGTGTCTGGGGTTGGGGCTGAGGGTTTCAGCCTTTGATAAGAAAAGAGGTCAGATTTCTGAACTCTTGGGGTGTGGTGTTTAGGGTGTAGGGTTTAGGGTTTTGGGTTTTGGGTTTAGGGTTTGGGACCTTTTCCTTGATCTAACCAGCCACAAACTTCGCTGGAAAAGACGAAGCCCTATAATTCTAAACTTAGCCCTGCAGTCTAAAGCTCCTAAAACCCTAAACCCTACGCTGGCCCTAAACCCTGAACCCTCCCCTAGCCCTAAACCCGAAACCCTCCCCTAGCCCTAAACCCTAAACCCTCCCCTAGCCCTAAACCCTAACCCCTCCCCTAGAAGAACATCGAAGCCTACACCTAGAACCCGTACGCCCTCAACCATCGAGTTCACCTTCCTGTGTGCAAGATCTTCTGCGCCTTTCATATTCTAGGTAGGCCCTTGGGATATTTTATTTTTCCCTTATTGGGTTTAAGAGGATCATACTTAGGAATATTTTTCAGAGGGTTTTAAGGGCCATCCTAGTATTATAAAGCTGCCTGAGATGTTCAGCGTTGGCGTGTGAGCTTTCCACTGCAGAAAAAGTCAGACAGGTCGAATGCTTCTCATCACTCAATAGCTTCGCAACTAGATCACACAGACCATGCAATATTCTCCACAATTTCGACACAAGTCAAGTACAGTAACACTGGTGGGCCATTCTACGAAGATGCGTGCCCTGCACCAGTACAGCTGCTTGGGCCATGGCGTCTGATAGGCAAGTCTTGCGCGCGGCGCAGAACAAGGTCAGTGGCGACTGGCTGGAGATCAATTTTCACCTGCCGGGAACCATTTGGCAACTCAAGTGCAAGATTGCTTCAACTTTGCCTGACAGATCCCTGGACAATGCAGACACGGGAGTAATCCTCTGGAAAGTGCTAGTTGGCCGACCCGAAGAGGAGATCGAAGAGATCCAAGATCTGCAAGAGGAGATCACCCTTGGCCACCGCTATTTGTTTGTGCTGCGCCTTCGGGAAAAACTTGACGTGTGGCTGGACATGAAGCAGTGCAGCCTCTCAAGAAGGGGGTACGAAGGGAATGCCCCCGACTACGAGTTTTCGTACGTGGTTCACCATGAGGATCTGCCGGTGCTTCAGACTTTCGATGACTTTGCTGATGCTGTTTTCAAGCAAATGGAAACTGAGGGATACTACCTCCGTCACACGGAAGACGAGACGAATTGCCTTGTGAGGTTTAACTTGGATCGCTGTGAGTTTGAACCGAAGCGGGCGCTGGTGTCCTTCTCTGGCAGAGACCAGGTGCAGGAGATCGTAGTTTACTGCGATGGGGAGAGCTTTTGGCTCTGAGGATACCGCATGATCGAGTTCTTCTACAGTGAATCTTTCCCCTTTGCAAACGCAGAGGACCTCCGATGGAACAACTGGCTGCAACACTGAGGACAATTGCCCTCCCCCCGCGCCAATCGAACGCAAAGCAAGGAGGGTATAGCTGCAAACAGCTTGAAAATTCGCTGATGTGTTTCTGGCTGATGTTGCCCTTCTTTGTTTTACAATGCGCCAAGCCCTGACCCAGCATCCCAAAACGGGTTTAGGGTTTAGGGTTTGGGGTTCATCCTAAACCTTTAGGCTAACCCTAAACCCAATTCATGGGTAAGACTACCAGCGCGAAGCCCTCAATGCTGACGCAGGCCATGTTCAATGTCCCTAGCAAAACGCTGTGGTTGCCAGACCCTTACAACCCTGGACAAACCTGCCCTTGAGCACAAAAGACCGCAGTTGCAAAACCCCTACAACCGTAAACCCGAAACACTAAAGCCAACAGGGCCTCAAACCCTAAACCCTAAACCCTAAACCCCAAACCCTAAACCCTAAACCAGCCTAAACCCTAAACAACTCCCGCAGACCCTACTTAAGGCCTAACCTTAAGACGCACAGGTCTTGAACCATCTTTGCACTTACCAGCTCTGCAGAGGGAATTGGGTTTAGGGTTTGGGGTTTAGGGTTTAGGGTTAGGTCCATCTGCTTAACTCTAAGTGGGCTGTCGCCCACAGCCGGCTACGCCCAAAGCAAACAAGGACTTGGGTATGGGTGCAGGGTTTAGGAGGGTTGGTTTAGGGTTTAGGGTTTAGGGGTTCGGGGTTCGGGGTTAGGGGTTTAGGGTTTAGGGTTCGGGTTTAGGGTTTAGGGTTTAGGGTGCAGGGTGGGTTCGTTGTTTTGTTTCTAAAGGAGAGAAAAAAGGGGGGTGGCGGGGGGTGCCGAAGGACAAGAACAACCTGAAGAGGCACAACAATAATAGAATCAACAAGAAGTCCAACAAAAGCGACAACAGACGACCTCAAGAAGAGGACCACCGCCACCGCCACCGCCACCGCCACCGCCACCGCCAGCACCAGCACCAGCACCAGCACCAGCACCAGCACCAGCACCAGCACCAGCACCAGCACCAGCACCAGCACCAGCACCAGCACCAGCACCAGCACCAGCACCAGCACCAGCACCAGCACCAGCACCAGCACGACGACGACGACGACCACGACGACGACGACCACGACCACGACCACGACGACCACCACGACCACCACGACCACCACGTCCACCACGACCAGCACGACCACGACCACCGTACCTATGTCCCGAACTCCCTACTGGGAACCAGTACTACTCTTAACCCTAAACCCTAAACCCTAGAGCCCATACTTGCCTAAACCCTTAATCCTAAGCCCTATACTATACCCTAAAGGGACCATGCAACTACCCCATAAGACTTGTAACCCTAAACCCTAAACCCTAAAGCCTACTCTAAGGGACCATGCAACTACCCTTTAAGACTTGTAACCCTAAACCCTAAACCCTAAACCCTAAACCCTAAACCCATAAGCTCTGGAGAGCGTCGGGCTCCCAGCTGCAGAAGGGGGTGGGGACTCTTGGACCGTCGCCGAGGCGCCCGCTTTGGGCTGTTTTTCTTTGTTTGTTGTCTGCATACCCTAAACCCTAAATCCTAAACCCTAAACCCTAAACCCTAATCCCTATAAGGTGTATTTTGAATTGGTTGTTTTTTTGGGTTTAGCTTTCAGGGTCTATGCGTTGATTTCCTTGAGTTTTGTTGTGGCTTTGGGGGCCTTAAGGGCTTTAGGTGTTTCAAGCCGGGGTACCCTTTTCCCGCCTGCAGGGTTTAGCGTTTCGGCTTTGATGAGGTTTGGCTTTCGCGCAATATTCAAACCCATAAACCCCTTGCATCTCCCAACAACCTCGAGCTCGAAATCCAAAAGTGTATGTGTGTGTACCTGTACTGAATGATGCAGTGCAGCAGACAGCAGGCCGATTGGGCACAAGGTAGAGTGTAGGGTACCAAGAAACCCTAAACCCTAAACCCTAAACCCTGCTTCGACGGGCCCCTTCTGTCACTTGCTTAGCCCTGTCACTTAAATCTAGCTGCCTGGCTGCTTCAATTCAGAAACTACAAGAAGACTGTGAGGATCTAAGCCGTAGGAGCCGGAATTAGCCTCTGAAGGGCTGTATATTTAGGGTTTAGGGTTTAGGGTTTAGGGTTTAGGGTTTAGGGTTAGGATTTCAGGGTTTAGGGCAGGCTGACAGTCTTCCCCGTTCAACGTGGTGAAGCGGCTGTCTTCCACGCGGTATAGTGCCTGTTAATCATGTTCTGCTTGTCAGAACTGCACCTCGAAAACCCAAGCCCTAAACCCCAAGCCCTAAACCCTAAACCCCAAACCCTACACCCCATCTCCCTCCAACCCTGTTTCATGAGGGACATGGACGGTTTTGGCCAGTCTGGCGGGGCCTCTCCGAGCGATGCCCAGCACTCGGGCACCCTAAACCCTAAACCCTAAACCCTAAGCCCAAACCCCAAACCCCCCAAACCCTAAACCCCAAAACGCAAAACCTTATAAACCCTAAACCCCGAAATCCCAAACCGCGACGCCCCTAGAAAACCCTAAACATTACATGCCCTCACTTGTCTGGATTTGAACTTCGCCCTACAGACCTGAGACTTCCCAAGCCTAAACCCCTCAGATTTGGCCATGGACTAAGGGAGGGACCTTACGGGTTGATCCGGGGGTTATTTAGGGGTCGTTAGGGTTTGGGTTTTTTTGGTTTAGGGTTTAGGGTATAGGGTTTAGGGTTTAGGGTTTAGGGTTTCGGGTTTCGGGTTTAGAGTTTAGGGTTTAGGGCTACTTACGTACAGTATTATAGGGACCATATAAGGTACATGTAAGGGCTATATGGGGGTTACATAGGGGAAGAAGATGCCGGGTCCTTTCTCAGGGTCGCTCCTTATACGCCTTGGCAAGAGTTTGGATTCTGCAGCTCCTTCGGACAGAGTTCGGGCTTGGGGTTTAGGGTTCAGGGCTTAAGGCTTAGGGCTCAGGGCCTGGTAGCAACCTTATTCTTCCCTTTTTTGGGGAGGTTAGGGTTTAGGGTTTAGGGTTGAGCCAGCCGGCTGAGCCAGCAACATCCCAAACCTACAGCACTACGTCCTAAACCCCAAACCCTAAACCCAGCAATCCTGGAACTCCAGAAGGAGCCAAACCCTAAACCCTAAACCCTGAACCCTGAACCCTAAACCCTAAACCCTAAACCCTAAACCCTAAACCCTGAACCCTGAACCCTGAACCCTAAACCCTAAACCCTAAACCCAAAACCCTAACCACCAAACCCTAACCACCAAACCCTAAACCCTAAACCCTAAACCCTAAACCCTAAACCCTAAACCCTAAACCCCCCAAACCCTCCCGTAGCTTGGCCCAGATGGAGAGAGCTGCCGGGCTCATGCACATGCAGCAAGTGCTCCAGGCCTCAAAGGTTTAGGGTTCAAGGTTAAAGGCCCCAGGCCCAAAACCCTGAACCCTGAACCCTAAACCCTAAACCCCAAACCCCAAACCCTAAACCCTAAACCCTAAACCCTAAGCCCTAAACCCTAAACCCTTAGGCCCTAGACGAACCCATCAACCTTGGCCCGAGTCTCAAGTGAAGTTCTCTGCATCGTCGCCCTGTTGCTTTGCGGATGCTTAGGGTTTAGGGTTTAGGGTTTAGGACTTAGGGTTTAGGGCTTAGGGTTTAGGATGCTTGGGGTTGGTAGGGTCCTCTGTTTTTGCCTTCTGCTTCTCCATTTGAGGAGGCTCTCGCTCTTCGGTGGTTGGGGTCTGCAGAACCGGTTCCGCCTGCATCTGCAAAGGCTCTTCGTCAGTAAGCACTCCAAGGCCTTCTACCCCTAAACCCTAAACCCTAACCGTTTAACCCCTAAACCCTAAACCCTAAACCTTGAACCTTGAGGAGTTAAGGGTTTAAACCTCGGCCCTCATGCTGAATCTCTCAATGGCGCTGAGGGCTTACGCGCCGACCTCGGCCCTAAACCCTAAACCCTGAACCCTGAACATTTAAACCCTAAACCCTAAATCCTAAACCCTAAACCCTGAACCCTAAGACCTCCTGGAGCTCTTCATCAGGCACTGCTTCCATGGAGGTCCACCCCCGCCTCCACCCCCCCCTCCCAACCCAACGTCAAAAATGCCCAAAAGCCGCCAAGGGCTGCCTTGCTTTGGGGTTTAGGGTTTAGGGTTTGGGGTTTGGGGTTTGGGGTTTAGAGTTTAGGGTTTAGGGTTTAGGCTCAAGACCCCTACACCCCTTGTGACATCCTGTGTCCTTCTGGCTCTCTGCCACATCATCAGCTTGGAAACTACACGCCTCACAACTTTTTCCAACCTCGGGACCCCAGCTGCCCCAAGAACCAGTTTTAGGGTTCAGGGTTTAGGGATTAGGGTTTAGGGTTTAGGGTCAGGGTGCTGAAACCCCTAACGTCACCTAGACCCAAAACCCTACGAACCCTACAGCCCTAAACCCCGAATCCCAAAACTGGCCCCAAGCTCAGTGTCTTCAAGCCTAGAAGAGAATGTAGGGTTTCGGGTTTAGGGTGTTGAAGAACCCCAAACCCTAACCCTAAACCCGATTTGGGGCTCTCGCCCCACTCCAGGGGCAGAAAGCGACCATGAAGATCTTGGGGCACTGTTTTGAGAGGCCGGCTTTGGGGGAGGGGAGAGGGAGATTTGGGCGTTGAGGGGTGTAGAGGTGTTCTGTGTCTGTCTTCTTTCTTGTTCAGAGGTTCTTGTGTTGCCCTAAGGCCCTAAACCCTAAACCCTCAACCCTAAACCCTAAACCCTGAACCCCATAATTTTGAGAGCTGACCACAGAACTGTGTAACCATGTAGCTACACCCGCAAAGCCCAACAAAACGACCAGGGCCTTGCCATTCACTCCGCTGCATCCACACTTAAACCCTGAGCCCTTACCCCACACACGGCTTGAGCTCGCATAGGGCTGTTAACAACTCACCT